TACAAATTACTGCAACACCACTCAATTTCTTGCAGACGAGTTTAAAGAGTGTTTAGTTACAATACCATATGTATAACATAACAAATTTACAGACTGAATCAAATATAATGCACACGGTTGCAGGGCATAAGTACATCATGCCACACTAACCAATTTAACGACTTACTGTAGTGGAAAAATATAAATTCAATGACTGTGGTATATAATCAATGTGTACGGATTTGGGAGTCATTTAAATTTAACTTCTTAAATTTTAATTAAGCTTACATACAAGATAAAAACAGTTGTGCATTCGCCATCCTGGTACACCTTATTGTTATGCCCAAGCATTTTGACATTGAGAAATAATCTCATCTCAAATGTCACCTTGAATCAGGTGTATTTACATCAAAAACGCATGAAATTAAAAGAATGTTCCTCAGATTGGCTAAATTTACTTAGAAAAGTTTTTGGGAAAATGAGACTTTGAGGGAAGACCATAATTCCCACCATTCTCACCTGGGCATCCCCTTGTGTTCAGCATACCAGTTGGTTATTCTTTCCTCCCATTGTTCTTTGCTCAACTTGTGCTGGTCTATTACTCTGTTAAACAGAAAAAGAAAATGATTAAAAAGGAGTCTGGAAACAAACAAATGGTAAAAACAACTATGATTTGATTTGTTTACCTAAAACTGTTCTTTGCTACAAAAAGGAATTATGATCAGAGGAATTGTTCTGATCATGCATGGTCTTGCACTGTTAAAATGTAATCTTATTGAGACGAACCACTGCGCAAAAAAGTTTATCTTCTCTTGCACATTTTGCGTCAATTTTTGTCGACTGGCATGCAATTTTTTTTATAACAAATGTCGCTTACTGATCAGCACTAACTCTGAATCTACTGTGACAATGTTACCCACAAGTAGTTTCAATAACAGAGACAGATGTTTATTTTCATAACGGCAGTGACCAATGATTCTGCAAGTGGTTCTCTCCATCACTATGTTCGCACACAAAACCAAGTGCGATGGCCTATAGTGAGACTTGTATATAGACAGTCGCAGTTGTTTATGTTTTGTGCGCCTGCATGTGAACAGTGACGGGTTGGCAAAGACCTGTTTGCTTCAGAAGATAAAATTACGGCGTTGGTTGTTGATATTTAATGTACATGTTCCTGTTAATAAAACAACTTGTGGGCAATGTCGTCGCAGTAGATTCTGAGCTATCGCTAATTGTGAGCAATATTTGTTATCAGACATTTGCCTGCTGGTTGTCAAAAATATAAAACCTTTGATGTCACGATGCGATGGCCTGTAGCATCCGTAAAATATAATTCAGGTACAAACAACAACGCATGACACTACAGATCACTCAAACTGACTGTAAAGTACCAAGCAACATCCAACACATAAATGCTCACCTTTGAGGTAATAGTCGATCGTTGGATAGAAAACCTGTTTTTTGTGATTCTGAATTATGGTCTCCATACTTGGCTTGTACAGCGTACGAGCCCAACAATACCGAGGTCTCCGGTGGGCAATATATTTCATCTGATAAAATTGATTCTTTAATTTGAAGAAAGAACAAACGCTGTGAAATAGAGACAGTAACTTGTTAAAGAATTTCATTGAGTGAAACTAGTTATAGCATATACATGGTTTATTGTCATGTAAATATATTATAATTATTGAAGTCCACAGAGCAACACACTCTTCAGCCAGTGTGACGTACATTTACCTTTTGAATTGTCACATTCCACAGATTAGACTTAAATGGGTTTCCATATATTTTTCAAGAAATAATGTTTAAGAGCTGTAGGCAATGGGGTATATGTACATTTATTTCAAATTTAAAAAAAATAAATGATTAAAAAACGAATAATGATAAATGTGCAAGACAGAATTTATTAAACGGAGTTGGTCGTTGAGTAGCAAATGTTTGAATTTTACACACGTTGCATATGCCACTATGGGTCCCACATCGAGATACAGCGTGGCATGACAACATTGCCTTTTATTAAGTATTGAACTCTCCTAAAATATGTGTATACAGGATTTAGAAACAGTTTGACAAATTTGGAAAATAGCAGCCAAAGGCGAGGCACACTGCTTTTACTGCTATAGCCAACATGGGATTTCAACCAATTTATGATTCAAAATGGCCACCATAGTTACAGATGATTTTTGTAAGCATGGGGAATACATACATTTCTTTACACAGGAATGTGCCACCAAAACCGAGCATTTTTCACATTATCTGTGAAAAGATAACGAGTGCATTCAATTATGGAACACCCACCTTTGTTACTTCTTGGATGAGTTCTTCTGCTACGTCTTCTGGATAGAATTTAGCCCTGAATTTAAACTGTAATGGTGATTCTTTTCGTACATCTTGACTCAGTACCTGAAATTAAACAACCAGTATGTCAGAATAAAAACAATAATTTCTTATTCAAGTGATAATGTATCCATATTAAGATGTACATGTAAATTCATACATACATGAATGCATGCATTAACAAATCTTGCCAAAAAACATTAACACCCCCCCCTGTGATTAGACAAATGGCTAATTTTTAATGAAAATCTATAAAAACAATAAAATAAATAGTGTTTTTGGTAAACCTACTTTCCCGATTTGGGCAAAATCTACCGTTAACATCACAAATAAGAGCCAAAAAGATATATTCATATGGAAATTAACTGTGGTCATTCACCAAAATTGCAATTTCAATGTAATTCTGTAATTTCTTTCTATGTAGTGAACTAGCTTAGTTATGCAAAAAGATCTATGCGGAAAACTAGCGTAGATGTATATTTGTCCTCTTTCATTTTTCAGAAATGATTATTTTTAACCGAAGCTCATATGCAAAAATTCAGCAAATTAACATATCAACAAAAGGAAATAATAGTTTAAAAGAACTGAAGTAGACAAACGCTAACAGCTTTGCCTTTCCCTAGAATTGCTGCAAGATTCTAATCATTTACAATTAGTCAAGCAACTACCCTTAGGCATTGACAGTAGTGGCACAATAGAGATACACATTTCAACTATCCCACTGCAGTAGGGTCCATTCCACTGGTCAAGTCAACCATTGAGAGAATGTCAGAATTTCAGAATTGTATCTCATGGAAAACTTTTTTGAACTTAACCCTTTTCACGATCAGACCAAATTACTCTGCACATTTTTCTTGTATTCAATATTTCTGGAAATAAACTTAATTTAAGTTAATTTTCAGTTATTACCTAAAAAATTTGGCATTTTTTGTTCCAATATTTTGCAGACTAAATTTGAGATGAAAAGAGGGAACTGGTGGTGAAAAGGCTAACATTATGGCAATACATTTTAGTTCCTCAATTTTAATATAGCTCATGGCAATTAAAAAACCGGATTGTTGTTAAAATGTCAAGATTACAAAATTAGGGCATTAATTTAATTCAATCACTTCTCCAAGTGTTTCTCCAAGAAAGATGGTGACCTCAGAACACCATTGAATTCAAAAAATACATTTTACAGAAGAGGAAATATCGCAACTTCTTATCTCTCTGCGAGGACCACTGGATAATTTAAAAACTAAAGTAGGTCAACTAATTCCTAACTAACGCCCAACCCAATATTATCAATAATCAAGAATGTGACATAAATAGAAAAATGTATATTGTAGAACAACAATAGACACTAATAATGTATTTAGACAAAACATAAGTAATTAATAAGACATAACACGTTGAAATAATTTGAAATACATGTAGCAGCTTTCAACTTTCAAAAATGTGTAATGTAAGTATATAGAACTCAAACAATCTCATTGTTGGTAAAAGACGTACATGTACATCTTAAATTAGTAGGAATACAGGGTAGCTTAATTAGTACAGTCCGTTAGGTAATAATTAGTTGTATATGGACAAGACGTAGAATTAGAAATACAGGGTAGCTTAATTAGCGCAGTCCAGTAGGTAATAAATAGTTGTATATGGGCGGTACACAAGAACTTTAGTGGGACAATTGATACGGTCGAGTAGACACAGGTCAGCATAGGTATGCACGCATAGAGTTGACCTCAGGTGTGTAACAGCCAACTCCTTATAAGGCAATATTTGTTATCAATACTATGTCATTGTTATCAAGGCGTGGAAGCAACTACCCTGCGCTTTCACAGAAGTTTCCCACACCACACTGGATGGAATTTATCAAGTCGTACATATTCTGCTGTTTGAGAGAACTGCCAAATCATTTTTTTTTTTTCTTTTTTTTTTTTACAAGTACCTCATTGTACTGTTTTGTTGTATATGCCCTGGCTTTTTATGTCAGTGTGTCAAAGAAAATAAATTATAATCTTATCACACAAAACAATATAGACAACTTTTTGTGTTTAATTTGGTTTAAGAAGCAGATCAGCATCCCCCATCCCAAAATTGTTTTCCAATGAAAAAAAAAATTAGTTTGCATTCTCCACATATTTTCCCCAAGGAAACACATCCAAGAAAAAAAAACAATAGCATTTTTTTTTATTCAAATATATTCCAGCTACATGTTATAAAAGCATCAGAACAGGTTAAGGGCCAAGCAATATTAGTCCATTCTGAGTTGGCAAAACTAAGACAGAAAATAAGTTTTTCCTTTTATCACGACTCCTTGTGCAAGTTGATTATTACTGGAAATTACCACCCAATTAACATGAAGGGGGGTGCATGTCATTACACATTCCTAAACTACTTGGTACACGTTATGCACACTCCTATACTCATAAAAATTTACAGGATGGTAAAAGTTCTTTTACATATTTTATAGTAGTACGAAAACCACTATATAGAAAAGTAGGATTTGTTGCAAGACCTACTAAATATTAATTGAATGG